AAAAAAAAAAAAAAAAAAAAAAAAAAAAAAAAAAAAAAAAAGGGAATAAAATGTGAGTTCGCGAGGAGGTACGGACTAGGCTCCTCTTATCCCGAGTCACCTCGTGGAATGGGATAATAAGCTCGGAAAATCGGTCTAGGGAACTCGAGGAGATCCCTCGAGGTTAAACCTATATAAGCATTGTCTAGGAAACCTCATTTCGAAAAAGAAGCTCACATAATAATAAAAAAAGAAAAAGAAAAAAAAAGAAGAAAAAAAAAGAAAGAGAAAAAAAAAAGAATGGGAGTTGGCTTATTGGTTTTATGCTTATCGTGTTTTATATGTGTAGTAGACCATTTTTAGCTTTTTGCACGTGTATGTAGAAAAAATGAGTTTGAATCGAGTAATCATGTATAGAAGAACTTGGGACGGGTTTTTGTTTTGTATGGATTCACTATGTGGGGAACATGTTTTCGGATTGGATTTTGATTTTATGGATATCCGGATGAAGATGAGAGTTTCATTTCGCATGCTCGTTAATTTTAGACTTCTCAATTTTTCTTTTCGAGCTACTTGTTATTTTGTTTGCTTGAGGACAAGCAAAGAGTTAAGTGTGGGGGAGTTGTTTATTGTGTTTTAGTGGTTATTATCGTGTGTTTTATGTGCTTTAGTTTAGTAGTTTTAGGTTCGTTTTAGTGTCGACCGGTCCATTTTATCGTGTTTCGTGCATTTTTGCTTTCGTATTGTATTTTTGTGGTTCGGCGTACTTTTCTTGTCTTTTTGGTGTTGTGTAGGTCCACAATAGTTGAGTTTGGGAAGACGAGCCATTTCCGAGATATTTCCGAGCCGTCCGAACCATGTCTGAGCCACGCGAACCATTTCCGAGCATATATATTAAGTGTGTTGTGATATCGATTTGAGCATTCCATGACAAAGAGAAAAAGATTTGAGGAGCGTGGGTCAAAGTTTCGAGTCAATCGGAGAAGCGTGCGAGAAGTTAGGGTTAATCGAGCCTCAAAAGTGAAGCAAATGCCCAATTCACGCCCGCGAAAATCATTCCGCGAGTAGCCCCAAACTCGCGAGTGCTGCTCCAGCCCGCGAAATCCAAGACTCGCGCCCGCGAAGACTCACGAGTGCTGAACAAGAATAAGTATAATTTTTTTTCTTATATCGATGAATAAATATATATTGTAAAATCAAATTTATATTAGTATAACATGTTAGCAGAATAATATATTTTAAATAATGAAAGTTCTCATGCTTTGTAGAACATGTAAACATCTTTTAAATGTATACACTACTAAAAGTAAAATAATATTCCTGTAAAACATTTTATAGAAACATATTACTAACTTATATCAATATATTGCTCATCGCAGAATCACCCTGTTTGTAGCAAAACTTTGAAGCAGACGGAATGGTGAGCAATCTCAGTCTTTCTCAGGTGCATAATAGCCCCCATTATCGATTCCCAAACAGTTTAACCGATTCTTAACAAAAACATCATTCCTTACAAAATCTTCAAGATTAAGTCTCAAAATGAAGTTTGTTGAATAATCCTAAAAATCAAAAATGAAAAATAAGCGGAACAATATAGCGATTCATATGTAATCAAATCGTTATGTACTATGTAATTTAACCAGTTATGTACAATGTAATTTAACCAATGATCAAATTTTAAAATATAATAACATTATCTAACTTATAATTTTAATATTATATGCATAAATGTAACTTATAATACTCTATGTTTAAAATATAATACCATTATCTAACTTATAATTTTAATATTATATGCATACAAATAACTCGTAATACTTTATTTACATATGTGCAAATACACAGGTCAAATACTAGTTTTTTAAGGAAGACAACACTTCATTCTTTAATATTATTGTGCTTACCAAACATAGACTATATAAATATATACAAATAATTGTTTTTTTTTTAAAGAAGACATTAAACATAATAGAAAAAATATAAAAAGTGTTGGATTCAGTTAGATTGACTTAATGGGCAATATTCTGGTCGACCAAGTAGTACATGGTTACAAGTCCTTGTACGCTTAGGGGTTTTTTTCTCTCACTAGAGTGTTAGTTCCAGCTCTTATATTTGGTAGCTCTAGTTGTCGTTCGTCCATGTCCTTGTTTCTCTTTCCTTTCTTAAGCTTTTCTTAGTTTCTTGTGTTTGCTCTTCGTGTCATGCTCTTAATTCATTTTCTTTTCCGTTTACCTCTTAGTTTAGGAATCTTTTTCTTTTCCCTCTTTTTTAGTCTCTTAGGGTTTTAGCGTTCTAGTTCTAAGATCAGTGTACCTTCTATTTTGGGGCTTTTGCTTCTCTTGTTTGCAGCAGGAATTTATGTTGTCGGAAAAAGAGAAAACAAGATTATTATTATCAAAAGAGGATGTTGCACTGAGTGTTCAGGAGTGTCAAAATAGCCTTATTGGGAAGATTTATGGGGAAAAGAAGGATAACTTCATTGGCCTCAAGACTACTATCCTCAGCATTTGGAATACAAGACAAGGATTCACAGTTAAAAGCCTAGAACAAAATGCTTTACAATTTGTGTTTCAAAATGAAGAGGATAAGTTGAAGATTCTACAAGGGAAAAAACCTGGACATTTGATGGCCTGTATATTTTACTAAAAAACTGGAGCCAGATGGAGTGTAATTCAGAGATGAGGAGGAGAAGATTAAAGATGGGTGCAAATACATAATTTTCCCAACCATTGGGTTACAGCAGAACCTAGCCTTAAGATATTAGAAAGGTGATTGATGTGTATGTTCCAGAAAATGGAAGTGGCAGTGGAAATGTGGTTAAAGTCCTAATAGAAATCACAAACTCAAAGAACCCTTGACTAGGGGAACTTTCATCAAACTGAGAGAGGAAATGAGATGGGTTGACTTCAAGAATGGAAATTTACAAAAATTTTGCTTTTATTGTTGTTTAATAGGGCATGATGAGAAGAACTGCCGGTCCAAAAAGAATGATGTCTCTGTAATGTGCTTAAGTTAGGCCAATTCAGAAATTGGCTTAAAACTCATTCCACTAGTTTATATGACCTTAGAAGCCCTAGATCTCATTGTTGGGATCTGTGAGAATCTCGTATGCACAAGTCATAAATTCAATAGCAAACGTAAACCTATGCGCAGTGGATCTAAAGGTTTGACGTAGAAAACTTACGGCTTAAAATTTATGTAGATCTGGTTGACCACGAACGGTTGACCGCAAATCACGTCTTGGGTTGCACGAACAAGATCAGATCAAAACCGGATCAAACGGGTGCAAAAGATGAAAACGGATCTTGCAGTCAGACTCCTTCCGTCGGCGCGTGAGGGCGCGTGCGGCGGCGGACGGTGGCGGTCTCGGCGTCGATGGAAAGGTCTCGTCGAGATCGTCGTTTGGGTATGTTGCACTCTTCAATTGGACCTCTGGTTAGTTCTGTAGGGTAAAATATATTTCATCTCGGTTTACCTACAGATCTTCTACTGTATTACTCAATACACCCTTCTTCAACTTGTATTAGTGGAGCAACAAGAAGAAGATAAGGCTTAAATGAGAACTAGAGAGAGAAAGAGGTGTGGGCTGTGTTTGTATATAATGAACATATGTCTTCTCTTCTCAGGAGCTTAATAATGTATATATAGAGCTATAGTAGGGACCCTTTGGAGATTAGGAAAAGAGCTCCTTAATTAATTAGACTAACTGTGGGTCAGACCCACTCCTCTAATTAATTAAATAATATTAATGGGCCACTAAGATTATATTATTGCACTCCCTTTTCCTAGCTCAAATTACATTTGAGACTCCAATAATAATTACCCGATTTAGCTCCCACGTTTAAGATATAATATCCATTAATTAATTCGATTACTGACAATCAAGAATTAATTAATTTATTATTATTTCACCGAAGCTAGTGCTCGTTCATCACATTCTTATTATGCCGGAACTTAATCCACCTGTAGGGTTTAGCATAACAATCTTTCATGAACTCACTCCGGGGACATCATCAAACTAACGCACATGGTGACCGTAAATATCCTAACAGCACATCCTATATATAATAATATTACCCAAAATAGTAGGAATATTGATCTAGTGAACTGAACCTCACACAAGTGAATCAAAATAATATATATTATATATATATCTGCATGTTTAATATCTTACGGGTTAAGGGAACGCAGTAATTAACCGAGGCCTAATTCATTTACGACGATCAGTATAAAATGAACTTCTCCTCTCTGGGATCCTGTTCAATACATAAATGTACTAGTGCAACTAATCAGTTAAGACAAACTGTACAGTTGACACTACAACCGTTCGGATGAGATATTCATGTCCATCTAGGTTGTGAACAACTATTCTTGTTCGCAAGTAACTGATAGAGTGATCTTCGGTTCGCCCGATGACGACCCACTCCATCTGAGTGCAGAACAACAGAACGTAGAACTTGTTTAATCTAACATGATTCTCATTCATAAAGGGCAAATGTGTAATAACATGAAAAGTCAAGTTTTCAATACATAACACTAACACTCACCCAGAGGTTTGACAACCCATTGAGAATATTAGTAAAAAACCTTCTAATCCTGAGGTTGATAAAAGTGGGTTAGGAAAGACTAGTAATAGTTTGAAAAATATTGAGAATGTTGAAATGTCTAATGAAGACTCGGTTAAACAGATATGAGGGCAAATTTGAAACCAATTAGTTGATCAGGTGGATAGTAGTATTCGTAAACAGGTTCTAAACCCAAAATTTAATTAAATAGAGATAAGGCGACACAACTCTCAGCTAATACCAAAAAAGGGGGTAGATTTTCCCAAAGAAAAAGAAGGTTTAGTTGTAGAAACGATAAGGGAAAACTTGAGGTCATTAAAGAAGTTGAAGTAGGTGGAAACGAGGGTGTAAAAGGGTTTTAGAGAATAATAAAGTAACTGATACTGAATTGTTTCCAAACAAAATCAAATGAAGAAAGTCAAAGTGTCAGACAAACTTGTCATTTTTGAGGTGGAGGAGACCAGCCCTAAATAGTCTCATAGTTTCTAAAGGAAGTATGTGTGTGGAATTGTAGAGGTTTTGGAGGACCCTATACAATTTCCCAATTCAAATGGGTTTTGAAAATTATCTCCCATCTTTTGTGTTCCTTTCTGAAGTTAAGCAAAAAGAAAATTTTGTTGCTTCTATTTGTAAGAAGTTAAAGCTTGAGGATAGGTGGTTGTACATAAAACCTGTGGGTTCTAGGGGTGGGATGCTTTTGTGCTGGTCTATATTTGTTTCTTTGATAGAAATTTGTTGTTTAGACTTTTGTATAGAGGTTGAGTTCTCTTTTAAAAATGGTGTGCAAACTCAATGCGCTATCTTTGTCTACATTAGCACTGATACTGAACTAAGGAAAGCCCAGTGGAGTACTTTGATTAGAGATAGTTTAAAGTGGGGCAAACTTTGGTTCAGGAGGGACTTTAATGATATTTTGTCTAATTTGAATAATAAAGGGAGTAGGCGGAGATATATTCTAGTAGCTTGAATAGTTTCAAAACAAATGCGGTAGACATGGGGCCTTAAAAAGCTTAAATGAAAAGAAGTGCAGTAGAATTAAACAGAAAAAAATAATGAATTAAATGGTATTAAATGCAGGAAGAAAAAGTAAAATAAAATGCAGGCTGAAAAAGATGAAGCGACGACCCATAAGAATATTTTTTAAAAAACAATTCACATATTGCATGTATAATTTTACATGATTATGCGGAAAAACATACGCATAATCATTAATTATTCCGCGTTACAGATTTGGATATGCGAATCGTAAACTACACGAAAATATGTCGTATAATTAAATTATAAAACGTTCAATTTGGATATGTGATAACTAAAGTTGCGAACGTTTTTCAAATATCGTAAATTATGAGGTTGATCTGGACATGCAATTACAATATATCATATACTTATATTTAGTTTTTTTTTTTGTTATTTTGTAGAGCTGCATATGGTTTGCAGTTCTGTGATATCATGTCCTTTTATTTATTTTTCGATATGTTATGCAAAAACTATGCGATTTATCACACTTGTTTCGCAGTTGAGCGAAGTTTCTTTCAATTGAACTTTTTCACGTCGAACGTTGTCTCTGATTTTTCATAATCCATGCAAAACAATGTTTTAACACATACTTAATCATCACTGTCATCGCTAGTGCCATCAGCACCTATGTCAATCGAAGCATCAGGCCTGCCCTCCAAGTCGATCGCCACCGTGGTGCTCTCAGTAAAAGTCTTGTAACACTCATGATATAAAGAGAATTCGTACAAACAAAAAATACCTAAGAGTCGGTCTCTTGTGTATGAAATTTAAATTTTTTGGGGTACCGCGTCGCAAAAATGCATTAACAAACTAAAATAAAAGCTAATTTACCTTCTCTCCCACATACAATCAATACATGTGGGTAACACTAACAAGACCATCATCACCACACATTTGGATGCCTGGAATCATCAGGAAACTTGAAAATTCACCAAAATAATCCATCTGAATCATTCAACGTACTAGGGCAATAGAGTACTCCTTTTTTATTTCATAACTCAGCGTACGGTTCAATGAACGTTCAAAAATTTCTGGCCACAAATAATTGAACACAGGGTCTCGGTGTATGTATGCCTTCTAACGACACTTCTTGAAAAACACTCAGTAGCAAACATCTTTCTCACCATCGGTCCACTCCACGCCACAGATTATGAGTAGTAATAATGATGTCGTACATATACATTAACTCAGCTAATGAATAGGTACATGACATTTGTTTAAGTTTTTTATGTGAAAAATCAGACAATAGAAACGCTGCATAAATTACGCGAATAATATGCGAAATATTTTCGTCAGATAAGCGATTCATAATATGAATCAACGAAAAAATGGAGGATAGTCCTAAATTATGCGGATTTCGATTTGGATATACGATTCGTGAATATGCGAACATATTACACATAATCGTTAATTATACGGCGTTATAGATTTGGATACGCGAGTCGTAAACTATGCAAAAATTTGTCGCATAATAATTAAGTCGTTCGATTTGGATATGCGAAACGTCCTCGCATATGGTAAATTATGGGGTGGATTTTGATGTGCGAGTCGTAAACTATGAGAAAATAAGTACGTTATCACATATGATAAATTATGCGGTGAATTTGGATATGAGAGTCGTAAACTATGCGATGATATGTAGCATAGCATAAAATATGCAGCGTTCGATTTGGATATGCGAACGTTCTAGCATATGGTAAATTATGTGTTGGATTTAGATATGCGAGTTGTAAAAATATGTCACATAATCATAAATATGCAACGTTCGATTTGGATATGCGATAACAAAACATACGAAACGTTCTCGCATATGGTAAATTATGCGGTGGATATGAATATGCTACATTAACTATGAGAAAACATATTGCATGATCGTAAAATATTCGGCTATCAATTTGAATATTCGATAACTGTATATGCGAAATAGTTTCTCATATCGTAAATTATGCGGTTAATTTGGATATGAGATTACAACATATGTGACAGTAATTTGCATAATATTTAACTATGTGTCTGATTTGAATATGCATTGGTATATATGGGACATATATCGCATAATTGTTCATTTCTTGAATTTTGAATTGAAAAATATATTTTTGATAAGATAGTATGTAAAATAAAGACTATATGCATTGAGGTGTAAAATATTGAGGAAATTACACCATCCACTACATCTTAACATTTTTATTACATAATTATAACTCATACATATTTATTTGCAAATTAACTAAAACTATCATATTTATTTACAAACATACTAGATTATTGAAATATGGTAAAAGCAGATTTAGTGGGATCTATAATTATCACACGCTTTCTCTCTCTCTCTCTCCCTCTCTCTATTCGTCTTCTTCTTCTCTCTCCCTCTCACCTCCTTCTTCTATAATTTGCCCCAAATTTCAGAATCCTTCTTCTTCCTCATCGATCGATTTCGCTCAAAATCTCATAAAACCCTTCGTCTAATTAATTGATCGATCATCATCAGAATTTTAGAGAAAAGATTTTCTCAACCCTCTTCATCGATCCACCATAGCCGCGCGACGTCTTCATCAGATTCTTGTCCGATCAACCATGGCCATAGCCGTGAAGCCGCAAGTTCCGATCGCCGTGCAGCAAGGGAGAACCAGGGGTCCCGAACAACAGCAACTCCTTCTTCCTCGGGCGACGTTCGATCAAGTCTGAAGCCAAGAGACGAGCCATCGCCGACGAGCCTCCACCGCCGGGATTTTCGAGAAAGGCAGACATAAATCGCCGCACCCATCTTGGGAATTTCGAAAATCCGCTACAAAATGTTCAGGAATCAATACGACACCGACGAGACGACGTGGTTGCCGGCGGGGCGGTTGTTCCAAGTGGAGTACGCGATGGAGGTGGTGAAGCAGAAGAGTTCGAGACGATGGAAGAAAAAACTGGAAATTGGAGACTGTGGGTGGGGGCCATGAATTAATCGGGTATATGTTATGTATATATAGGGTATATGTTCTGTATAATATAAGGGCTACCTTATTTGTATGTATGGTTTATATTGACAAAACATAAACTGATGATTTTTTTTTTGTATATGTATGGTTTATACTCGGTATATTTTCAGTATTTTTTCTCATGACATTAATAGGAAGACGTTCGATAGTATGTAATAGTTAAAATTTTTGGTATATTATCAATATCTTTCCGATATATTTTCTCATGGCATTAACAGGAAGACGTTTGATGGTATATTATCAGTATATTCTCGGTATATTTTCTCATGACATTAACAGGAAGACGTTCGACGGGTATATGTACAGTATATTTGCAGTATATGTTAAAGCAATATATATAGGCGACGAAGATTTCGTGAAATTTCGTACTCTTTGCCCGATTTCCTGAAATTACGCGCTGATTTCCTGAAATTACGCGCTAAGAACATGGAAGGTTGTTCCACTAACTGATTTTAGGCATGATTATAATTAATATTTATCTTTTAGGTATATACACAATTTAATTGGTATGGATGATAATATTGAAATTATCTAAAAATCTGTAAGTATATATGAAAATTTCCCTAAAATATTTCGGCCCGTTACAATCTTTACGTGGGTCGTTAACCAACACTTAAGCTGAATCGGAGTTGGTCCTGGCTGCGGTATTCACTCCCACGTGCGAGGCACAAAAGATACAGACTAAAATTTAGAGTTGCTCGCTTATAAATTAACTGGCAAAATACGGGACATTTCTTCATTTCCCGCCCCCCAAATTTCCCGCCTACTAAACCCTAATCTTCCGAGATGGGAACGAAGCACCACCACTCCTCTGATCCGACCGCCGACAGTAAACGGCGACGCTGTTCTGCTTTCTCCAAAATTGGTAGCTCACTCGCCTCCGATATCATTTTCTTTCTTTCTCTGGCTGCCACTTATTATTTTTTTATCTGAAATGTGGCCTCATTTCATGTAGATGCTGGAATCGAACCGAAAGAGTGCATCAAAGTTTATCTGGGTACTCTGTGTTGTTGCCTTATTTCTTATATTTTTCTGTCTACTCTTTTCATTTACTTTTTCTTCACGGTGTTTGCCTGCTCATTTCACTACTCTTTGGAAACTTCTCATGTTATGGATAATCACGTAGAAACTTCAGTAATCAAATTTGTAGCTACGATTGTTATTTTCGAGAAAATAGAAGTAATGATTTGTGGAATTTGATCGGCCTTCAACTTTTGCTTCAGCGGTATGAGATACTGTATGTTCAAGTGGATATGCCTTATTTGGGGAATGTCTTCTGTAAGTAACTGGTGTCAGTTTGAAATCACAGAATTGGGTATTTATACTCAATGATCATGTGTCCATATCCCTGTAATTATTAGAATAATCTTTTACTCAAGCTTATTTTGATTTTTGTTATTTTGTCCTATACTGAAGACTTGGGTGTCTAATCAAGCCTTCTGGTTAGTTATGTGCTGTCTACTGTGTTTGTGACTTTGTCTGGTTGAGATACATGTACAGTATCTGGAAAAGATGAAGTGGATTCTCCAAACAGTTTCCAAGTTGAACCGATTGACCTAAATCCGTTTTTTGAAGAGGATGGGAAGATATATGGTTACCAGGGTCTGAAGGTGCAGCTCTTTATATTAAATTTTAGTTATTTGGTTTTACTGACTTATATGCATAATAGTCATTAGAAATTTAATTCAATTTTTGTCTTGACATAAAATAGATGACATCAGTTTATTTTCTTTTGTGGTTGCTTAAATATTTCAAATTTATTGGATGTAGTCTTAATTTTTATTGGGTTTTTAGCAAATAAACATGTCGTAGGATATTACATATATGAGTGTAAAACAATATGAAACCTAAAAACATTGTGGATCGAATATTTTCATACATGGTAGACTTACCCAGTGGGTATTTAAAGATAATGAAGATAGCTTTTGTTCCAAAATATGTTACTGAAAGTATGGGGATAATGAAATGGTATGAAGCCTGTTAAGTAAATTTTTATTTTATCTAGATGGTCATACTTTCAAGTGAACAGCCATCATTTACAATTTAACCATTGACAGTTTAGTCAATTGTTTCTAAAAAAGTATTGTTGTGACTGAACCATGGAGCTGTGGTCCGGCCTCAGCGGTGGTTTTTATTTTTTATTTTTTTAGGGGTATCCTTTCCGACGTGGATTGTAAAAATGGTCTATAATTGAAGAACTGTTTGAAACTGAGAGATTAGGTGGGAAGGAAAATAATCTAGAAATCTGAAATGTGGGGTTAATGTATTTCCTTTGAGAAGCTTGTAACTGAAAAATGTAATGAAATTTTTTCTGTTCCATATGCATGATTTTATGTTTCTTCTTCTATAAATTAGGAAGATATATGCCTATATCATACCATTTTCTGAAAACCTGCAAATTAATTATAATTAGCAACTGCAAAATTTTGCCGTGAACCTGTTAGTCTGCATGTAGTTTTTTCTTTGCTGACTAGTTTATGGGCTTCCCAGGAGCATTACTGCTCTTTATATTTCTCCTCCATCACTTTGAGTCATCTGTGTACTTTATTTAGGCACAAAAATAACGATAATTTTCTCATAAATCAATGGCGGAGTGTTTTAACCCATGGACAGAAACTACATGTTGTAATTAAACCAATGTAATTATCTCATTTATGATTTTTTACTGCTTTTGGTTGCCGCTATAGGATTTTCCTCATATACACGAGTTCTCTCTGGTGTTATAATGACTGTTTTCAAACTTATAAAAGTTTGTATCTATCTTATGGTTGGAAAAAAGTGGGTTGATGCGTTTTGAAATACCAAAAGACCTTTAATCAGTATCCAAAAGCAGGGACTTGCATTATATTTCCGAATATGATTTTCAATGACTTGTGTGCACAAATTGATTGTAACTTCTTATTAAGTCCGTTCTAACTTATTCAAACTTATGTCTCATATTATTAACTTTGTACTCACTTTCAATTATGATTTACTTTATGCTTACATTGCAGATCACTGTTTGGCTTAGCAGCATATCATTCCATGCATATGCTGATATTTCTTTTGAGAGCACATCAGATGTAAGTTTTCACCTGCTACTCCATAACTTCATGGTTTTTAACTGATTCTTTACATGATTTAATTGTGGAACAAAATAATTGTTGCCCTTTTTCTTGTTTTATGTTTGGTCTCATGTTTTATTCTTCTTAATAGTTGACAGTAAGTTAGATGCCTTGGTGGTTTTGCCTTAGACTCGGGGTGCATGTGTTGGGATCTTTTTGTAACAAAAATTTGGTTTTCTAGGTTTCATCTTTTGCACTAGGCTTTATTTTTCTTTATGAAAAAAAGAGGCAAGTATTACAAATTGTAAGATGTAAACCTATTGGTGCTGCAATTCTGATTTCTTAAAGAAGTGAAAATCCCTAAACTTTAATTTCCAAATTATGTGTTCTATGTCAAGTTTGGTTAAATTATCATTAAATTGAGATTATGTATTCATATGCAGGCTATACTTGCCAGTTTGTGATTTTCTCACAAAGTGTAGAGTTGTATAGGGAAATATATTTTAACTCTTACTTTTTGGTTCCAATTATTGTGTTTTGTGGACTGTTTTTTCTATTATTTATAAGGGTGGCAAGGGAATAACCGACCTGAAGTCATCTCTTCAGGTAACTTTAAGCAATTGTATTTGATGGTTTACCTGATCTTAACTTGAAATTCATATGTGGATGATAAAAAGTACTTATACTTGTCAGAATATTTTTGCTGAGAATCTTGTTGAGAGCAAAGATGACTTTCTTCAGACATTTTCAAGCGAATGCCACTATGTGAAGTATGTAAAAATCTTCACTGTCAATTAACTTTTACTGTTTTT